TTTATATTCATTTCGCTCGATTCTGGCGAACCTCTCTTGCTTCACTTACATTAACCGTTTTTTTTTTCAACCTAAAGCTAGAAATCACAATCCAAGAACATTGTAATTTGATCTCTCCATCAACAGCTCAGCTGGATAATCAGACTTGAGTGATATAGGTCAAAGTGTTTAGTAAAAACATATCAATTCTGATTTGAATATCAGCTGTGGTCCAATTGATGTGGGCGTAATGCCAGACTTTCGGCTCAATGTGTCTTTTACCATACACTAGGAAAAGTAAGTAAGAAGGCGAGATATAAATGTTACTGAAGATCCACACTTGCTCATTCTTCTTTAATCCATTGCGTCTCAATAATGATTACTGGTCTTCTTCAGTGTTTTTTATCTCATGAGGTCTGGGATTTCGCACGTGCAATCTTTTCCAGCTAATTTTACCAGATCATCTACCCATCTTGCGGAAATAATTCGATTAAATTGAGGCGTTATCTAAAACAATAGCAGTTAAGTCAATATAAAATAGTTTTAACTGCGACTATGTCAAATTTATTTAGCAGAAAAGCTCTTTGTGAAGTTCGTCTGAGGAAATATTGCCACCATGCCTGTTTTACTTGTTTAACTGCCTCGGTGGCCGAACGGTTACCATACCGGACTGCCACGCAGAGGTCCCAGGTTTGATTCCCGGGCCGGGAGAAATATTTGTATGGCTTACATTTATTTCTCTCGTGAGTTTGAGTGTAATTTGTAGTTGTCTATGTGTGTGCCCATGGCACCTGCGACACAATTTACCCTAGTGCGGGGCTATGTTGAGTGTGTACGTTATTATTATTATTATTATTATTATTATTATTTCACCACCAAGCAGTAATATGAGCATTACATCAGGAACAATTAGACTTGTGTCTCCGAGTGACGGGAGCAGTAGCAGGACGCTCACCCGTCACCGGTACTCCGCCGTGCGACCTTGAAGCCGAGGTCCTGGCGGAGGTCCACGCCTACCGGCGGGGTATGAGGGACCGAGGCGAGCGCCCTACTCCCCAAGAAGTCGAGCGGGAGCGTCGCCTCGCAGCGCAGCGCATGCGGGACCGGTGGAAAGAGGGCTTGGCGAATCCCCCCTATGGAGCTCGGACCATAGGGGCGATCTGTCTTGTCCTGGTAGAGTGGGTGAGCCGGTCCCATTGGCCACTGTCGTACCACCTTGTGCAGGTGCTGACCGGGTATGGCTGCTTCGGTCACTACCTATACAAGGTGACGAGGAGGGAACCGTCCCCGTCATGCACCGAGCGCGGCGCTGCGGATGACACCACGCAGCACACCCTAGCGGTGTGCAGCCGGTGGGATGAGCAGCGTCGTACCCTGACGGGGACAATAGGGCAGGATCTCTCGCCGCCATGCTCGGTAGCGAGGAGTCCTGGGAGGCGGTGGCCTCCTTTTGCAGAGAGGTTATGTCGCAAAAGGAGGCTGCGGAGCGGGTGTGCGAGGACGCGGCGAAGGCGCAGACGTACGGGTAGAAGGCGAAGGTGGTGAATGTGCACCGACCCCACGGCGCCGACTAACCGGCGGGAGGTAAACCCGGGGGGTTTTAGTGGGGTAGGCCGGAGGTAGACTGGAGGGAGAGTCCCCACATAACCCCTGAGTCTCCCTGGGCTCAGGGGTATCTATAAAGATTTACCCTCCCGCCACTTGATATCATAGAAAAAGATGATACAATACGCGATAAAAGAGACGATACGTTTTTGTCATAAACAATCAATTTTATGACCAGAAATATAGAGCCGAAAAGATAAAGGTTGATCCTTAATGTACCTAACTGACAGCCAGTTCTAAAGTAAATGGATTGTTGATTAACATAACTCATACAGTTTGAATCCACGCTATTTCGCTCCAGGCGGTAATAATAAATTGCTGTTGCCAGCACTCGACAAATAAAGGCGAATTTATTTATCAATATATTTGTATGTATTTAAAAATAAATTTTTCGCAAGATTTTTTTTTTACGAGAAATATTTTAACGTTTTCGTAAAAAAGTTAATTATATATAATATTGAATTAGAAAGTAGACGGGTCCCTTCAAACTGTACTCATATATTTTCTTCAGTAGTAATTTATGTGAGAACGTGTCGAAAGCTTTCGTCAGATCCATGAAAATATTTCAGACCGCATTCGTATTATTAATACTTTCTATTATAATTGCAACATGTAAATTATAGCGAGACTTGTTGATTTATTTCTCTGAAAGTTGGTTAGTTATGGTTATGTAGTTGGAATTTATTCATCTTCGTGTTTTATTGCCGTATCTGTTGTCATTTTTATCAAGCTTGCTGTATCAAATTACCTTATCATTAATTATGCTTGCCATGTCTTTAGATTCGTAAATACATAACTTATCATTACATTTGTGATATATGTTCCTTCTGCATTTGATATTTTAGTTTATAAATGATTTGCCACGAATATTTCTAATATTGCTTTACTTGTTTATAGTAGGTATATTATATTTATTATTAACTGAATCTTGTGAAGTATATGATAAATATAAAAAAAAAATAAAAAATAATGTATTTTATACATTGACTTACAATTATATGGACGTCGGGTTCGCGCTAAAACGTGTCCGAACTTATAGGGCGTTAAAATCGTATACAGAGCGTCATTCACGCTTTAGTCTTCGTTTATTCGACTGGCAGCGAAGCAAGCAAAATTAGACAGTACTGCGATGACATTACAATTCAAATTCAACGTTTTAGCTTTTTCATATTCCTTTACATGTCACTATGTTTAAATAGGTTGACTTGGGACATTTTTTTCGTGGTTTTTGTATTAGACCCGTCGTCCATTTATTTGTAAGTCAATGATTTTATAACATATATACTTCACGCCTTTTTTTATCGAGGTAGGCAGAGACAGCCTTTCATTTCTACAATCCTGATACATTTTTTTCGCGTCGTCTGCGTACACCAGTGTTTTCAAATGTATGAAATCACTGGTGCAAAATATTTTTACGATACCAAGCAACACGCCTGTCACAGTTGCATTGCCACTCAGAGCTTTAAATTGTAATGATCTAATCTAACTTCCGTGTCTTTACTTCTTCACCTTTCGAACGCCGCAATACTCATCATTATGATTATACGAGTTTTTAGAAATGCAATTCTATAAGAACCACTGATGAGACCATACAAACTACCCAATAACCAAGCTTGCAGGTCATGCAAGAAAATCCATATAACGTATTATGACATAGAAAATCTTCAGCTTAATGAAATTTAGATTCCAACTGCGCATGCATGACAGGTGTAGACAGGAAGTGAAAATTTGCGTAAACGCAATTCCAGTATAATTTTATTAGATATAATTTTCACCTGCCACTCAGTGACATTAAATAGTTCTCATAGTAATAATAAGTTCATTGGCCTTCCGTTTAGTGTACGTAGTTATTAATGTTAACATCTTAATAAATAATAAACCTTTATGAAAATTAATTGTGTAATCGTATATTTCTTTTTCACCTGCGATTACAGGACACCTATTCAAATTTCATATTCTCAATATAGAACGTTATGCAAATTTAATTAATTAATTTTTCAATATCAAAAAATAATTGAAGTGTAATCACTTGCTTTCGTATTTTGATTACAATTAATGGCAAATAAAAATCCAAGATTACGATCATTTTTATGTCTTCCATTTTCAATTTTAAATTATCTCAATATTTTTTTTAGTTTCAATATCATGGACGTTATAAACGACGGTTTTAAAACCATTTAAACTCTGAATTCATTATTTACATTAAAATACTTTTACCGTTTGACGTTACCACAAATTAATTATAATCAAATGCTCAAATGCGTATCCTCTTCTCCAATCATTCACACCGCAATTCGCACCCAATACAAATCCACCGCAGATATCCTCATTCACTTTTATCGACCAGATTAATAGTTTGTTTTCAATTACCCTTCGCCATGTTTTATTTTGTAAACACATTCCAGGTCTGGAGCTCGGGTGGTCGGTTGCAGCTGAAATGCATCCTCGATTGCAGTTGCGGACCTGAGACGGTCGGGAGGAGCGGACGCTGCCGCCCAAGTGAAAGCTAAGCTCGTTTGAAAGTGTAGCAGCTAGCCCAGGCTGGCATCCGCCTAAAATGGGGTGATCGAGCGCGGTGGTATCGTATTGCTGGTATAAAAAGCATAAGCTCTCCCCGCCGCCGGTCAGAACGGCTCCAAACGTGAGTACACCCGCACGTTCAGCGCGTGTCCCGCGTGCTCTATAGTGCAGTGCAGTGCAGCTCTCGTGGCTCGTGCATCAGTGACGTCGCCCACCTGGTTTACCGATTGGATTTGAATTGTATTGTGAAGTGGTCTTGTGATCGGTGTTTGGTTTATGGAGAACACACTGTCGATACGGATTGCCTGATTGATGATACTGAAATTTAAAGGTTCCTCCACGTTCGACTGTTCATTGTTAAAAAGAATCCAATGAGTTGCAAGTAAACATATGATTTACGTAGAAAAATATATTTCGTAATTCAACCGAACTACAAATCAATGCTTATTCAAGGACTTAACTGCTAGTAAACGATAGGAACTTAAGTAACTGAGTTCAACAACAGATGTGAATTTTAGTTAAATCTCAAAATTAAGTCAATGTAATGAATTAATTGGTTGTAGTATTTGCTACAATAGAAACAATCGTGATAGTGGTTATCCATCAACCAGCACCATAAAAGACAATAACAACAATCCCCGATCGGCTAAATCGGTTGGCGCGGCTCCAGGCATTCCTGTGACGTAACGTCCGCGAAGGGCTGCGCGGGTCTGCTAATAAAAAACGCGCGCGCATCAAACTCGGTGTTACGCAAACGGAGCGGCGCGTGCGCTCTGGCACCGTTCCCAAACCGATCACTACTCGGGTTACAGCCGCAAATAGACGCACGCTGGGGACCGCCGCTGATCGCTTCTTCCTCGCTCCGGCTCCCGCTAACGTGTAGTGTGTGATTGCAGGAAGGCTCCGGGCTGTGTTCTCGTGTCTCAACTAGCCCTAAAGTCTCGTTAGCCCTCCAATATGCCGAAGCCAGTGAAACAAGAGGGCGAAGACCCCGATCCGACCCCGTACCTGTTCGTGTCTCTCGAACAGAAGCGCATTGATCAAAGCAAGCCATACGATGGCAAAAAGGCTTGCTGGGTCCCGGACGACAAGGAGGGCTTCGTGCAGGGCGAGATTAAAGCCACCAAGGGCGACCTGGTCACCGTATCCCTGCCAGGAGGCGAGGTGAGCACTTAGGCTGGTGGTAGTCGTAGCCATCGTATAACTATGGAAAGAAGAGGTCTGTGTCCTTCGTGGATGCATCATAACATTTTATGCAGCCTGGAACATAGTTCAAAACTTTTCCATTGAAACCAGTTATCCTTGACCGAGGATTTTAAAATTATATTTATATGCCACTTAAATATTATAGACTATATATGAATACTTGAGTTAGACTACTAGATGCGATAAAATAATTTAGATGAGACATTGTAAATGATAATTTTATTTTTAACTTAATTACACCTTGAACAAAAAGTTTTATAGTTGTACTTAGATAGCAGAGTATAACTTTGAATTAAATTTGGCCATGTACTTTAATCTATTTCTAAAATGAGCAGGAAAGGACAATTAAAAAGGATCTGGTCGGTCAAGTAAACCCGCCGAAATTCGAAAAAGTCGAAGACATGGCTGACCTGACGTACTTAAACGAAGCTGCAGTCCTGCACAACCTTCGACAACGATATTATGCGAAACTAATATATGTAAGTAGGCGCTCCGGCGCCTTTGCCATTACTATAGAACTAATGAAACGGTCTTTCCCCACAGACAAAAGACTTCAAGAAGGATCTTGTAGGCCAAGTCAACCCACCGAAGTACGAAAAATGCGAGGATATGTCCAACTTGACATACCTCAACGACGCTTCGGTTTTGTATAACTTGAAGCAGAGATATTACCATAAACTTATTTACGTAAGTCAGGAGCTGAGCCGGTTGGAGTTCGCGAGTGTGCATGTCCACCTGTTCCACCTCAAACCTGACGTAGACACATCATATATTTGAATGAAGATCATGTATATTTCCTGATATTATGAAAAAAAATTATTGCTGATGCAATATCCTTGTATAATATGATGCAATATCCCAATATAATAACTTAATTACATTCCCGAAGGATATTAAAACTCAGACAGATCATTCAAGTCGATGCAATTGACCAGCACAGTTACTACTTCTAAATGACATCCTTTCTACAAATTTTGTAAATGCAATAGTTCCAGATTTCAAATACTTTTGTAATCAGCATTAAATAGATAATTTTAGAGCTGGAAAGTGACCAAGTTTTAAAGATCAATAGCTGTCCATGAACGGCGCAATTAATCTTGGATTGATGTCTAGATTTGGATCTTATAAATAGTGCATCGACGTGCCAACTGTCTTATTTCGGCGCCCCATTTAATTCAGGGCTATTTCTGTCCTCTTCAAGAAAATTCCCGTGAAATATTCTGTTTTATTGCGTTTCAATTTTAATCGCTTTTTGACAGTTTTTTGTTAAAACTTTCCGTTGAAGTATATTACTGAATTCAGTCATCAGGTTAAAGATGATTCAAATTATCATTCACTATTTATACTTCAAAATACATACGCAAAAAGGAAAATTTAACGCGTCGGGTATGTGAAATTAAGTTTGCTCATATCTAGCAGTAGGAATGTGTCTACATTTTCCTTGACCACTCCTAATTTTCCATTGACTAAACCTTTCTCCAACCGTACTTGAAACCTTCTACACAGGACAAGTCGGTGAACAGAACTCAGCAGTGTCCAGCAGACTCTTCTTTGTTTCTAGAATAGTTTTTTCCGTTGTTGTGTTTACTTCTTTTACTCGCGAATACCCCCATTGTACTGGAGTATACAGAGTGAAATTGGGTTGGTTTTAATTCTTATTTGGAGCAAAAAGGTATCATTACAGTACCCATGCTCCGTCTGTCTTAATTTAAGTTCTTCGTATTGTTAATATCTTAACTGTTCTTTTAATGTCTTTATGTTAAATGGCAGAATCCTCTACCTTCACATCTTTCAAACAATAGTGCACTTTATGCGCATCTTGAGAAAGTAGAGAATTCTGCTTTACCTTTTTTGGATACAGAGAATCAAAGTATCAATACAATACTTTTTCTGTGTCTGTGTGTACGATTTATTTTTGATCGTAAAACATTATTTTTGTCATCCACTCGCTTCACAACAACCATCATATTGGTGCTTACCATCATGCTTGTCAAAATTATTCCACGAAATCTTTTGGCATAGTATTTGTTTCCTTGTTATGATTAGTACATAATAAAATATGTGCTCCATTTTTCCTATTATTACTATTCAATACCACCTTGTTCATCAAAACCGCTCCCTTGCATTAGACTATTATTTGAAGAACTAACAATCTGGACATCTGACAGACGTACTCGGGTCTCTTCTGTGTGGCCATCAACCCCTACAAGAGATTCCCCGTATACACCTTCCGTTGCGCCAAGCTGTATCGTGGCAAGCGTCGTTCGGAAGTGCCACCCCACATCTTTGCCATCTCTGACGGTGCTTACGTCAACATGCTGACCAACCACGAAAATCAATCTATGTTGATTACGTAAGTCTCTCAACATTTCAAACAAATTACATAGGCCTTCTTTTTGTACACTTGTCTCGTATATTGAGAGGGCTTTACGCTGGGCCAATGCCGTTTGACGAGTTTACCCATCTTAGAATAGTTAAAAAAGCCAGTCTAATCAAAAAGATGTAAGCAATCCTAAATTAGTGATCAAGATATTTCATTAAAAAATATACAAATTGACATCGAAATATGTCAAAAATAAAGATGTTTTTATTTACTAAAAAAGGAATAATTATAAAGTGTTCCGTGTAGAAATGCTAAAAACCGGTGTTCGTTTTTTCAAACAAATTAATGTTTTAGACCCTTGACAGGTTGCAAAGTCAGCCGCAGCCATGGGACCTAAAAAAGCTCGAAACAAAAATTTGTTTGAAAAAAATACATCTGCGATTTTTTCAATATTAGCCATCGTGAAAACCTATAAACTCGATATTTACGTCTACACTTACGGTACAAAAAAAACTGAAAATCATAAACTATATTTGATAAACAGCGGTGAGTCTGGTGCCGGAAAGACTGAGAACACGAAGAAGGTAATTGCGTACTTCGCCACCGTTGGTGCCTCGCAAAAGAAGGACCCTAGCGCTGAGAAGAAGGGCTCCCTGGAAGATCAGGTCGTCCAGACTAACCCTGTGCTTGAAGCCTTCGGTAACGCCAAGACTGTGCGTAACGACAACTCCTCGCGATTCGTAAGTATCTTTTTACACATATGCATTTTATGTATAGGTGTAGACTTATCTACATTTATTTTCTCTGCAAATTGTTCGTAGTTAATTATAAAATTCGACACACACAGTGAAAATTCGATTGAAAAAAAATCACTATATATTTATAAATTCTTCTTTTGAAGATTATGTAACGTCATCACTCTTTAACAAACTACTTTCAAACCTTCCTCAGGGTAAATTCATCCGCATTCACTTCGGCCCCTCTGGTAAACTGGCTGGTGCCGACATTGAGACCTGTAAGTATGGCAACTAGATCAACTTTCGCACCTTCTTGATCGACTTCGTCGAGCCTGTATGACCAACTTTACCACCAGATCTGCTTGAGAAGGCCCGTGTCATCTCCCAGCAGGCTCTTGAGCGTTCTTACCACATCTTCTACCAATTGATGTCCGGCTCTGTTCCTGGCGTCAAGGGTGCGTATAAGTCTTAATAGTTTCAATCTTTGTTAGGTTTACAACGATTTTGCCATACCTTTATCTTGAACAGATATATCCTACATCCTAAAAATAATATTAAGGCTGTAGATTTCAAATAAATTCAAAATTTATATTACAGGTGGTATATTACAATTACCTGGAATTTGACAGTCAGAAATATAATTTTATTTTAACACTATTTATTACAACAAAGCTACATGACAAAAAGCACAAAAGCACACACAGCCCACCTGCTTACACCAAAATTTCACTTCAATGTAATGACCTGATCCCCATGTTTAGAGATGTGTATGCTGTCGAACGACATAAATGACTATAACGTCGTAGCGCAAGGAAAAACTACCATCCCCAACGTAGATGATGGAGAAGAGTTTGGTTTGACCGACGTAAGTTCGCCTTCCAAGGGCTGAAGGCAAAAGAACGAAGTGTTAGTTCGTTTGAGTTCATCTCGAGAACTGCGCCGCATGAAACCGGGCTGTTATCGAGTTTTAGTTGTCTCGCCACAAACCTGGCTAGAGACTTATTTAGTCTGCTTCCCGAATACTTAAAGGACATTAGCGTGTGTGTGTGTATCCTTGTTAGTTGCACCAAATACCAAACGTGACTGTGATTGGTGTCTTTTATAGAGGTCTGCATGTTATCAAACGACATCATGGACTACAACATCGTGTCGCAAGGCAAAACCGTCATTCCTGGTCTCGATGATGGCGAGGAATTTAGGCTTACCGACGTGAGTCCAGAATATAAGACTACTGGCTCATCTCATTCTCTTGATCTTTCTACTTCTTCTGCTCTGTGCTTGCTTCGCTTACGGCTGAGCTAAGCTCAGTTTTTGCGTGTGTATGTCAGATCTTGGCTTGGTGTTTACAGAGATAACGATGCTAAGCAACCGCATGTCGGACTATCCCCTCATTAGTCAAGGGAAGACGCGTATACCTGGAGTCAACGACGCCGAAGAGTTCGAACTGACGGTCGTAAGTCTCGAACCTGCGCATGGAGCGTGCGTCGTTGATGCAGATATTCGCAGATTGGATACATTGCACCAAAATTTGACATACCCATCGTATGCTCGCTCCCTGCAAGAGTTCAATCAAGGGAATATTGCACAGGTTTTCTTCACGATGCAACGTCCCAATCCAGCACGGCACCTTCACAATACACTAATAACTACGTATCGCGATAAACACGACTACACAGTTTAGGATTCGATATTATATTGCAGGATCGTAATGTAGGGCTGAATTTTTTGTTAAATTGTCATAATTTTACTCCAGAGATGTGTACATTGTCTAACGACATTCACGATTACAACACCGTCGCCCAGGGTAAGATTACCATTCCCAACGTGGATGACGGCGAGGAATTCCAACTGACCGACGTAAGTGCAACGCGAATACATCGTACGTGTAGCCTTTGGGACCCTTAGTTGTGGCTTAGACTCGTGATATGCATGAGACATGCCACAATAACGTCTGTATTGAAATACAGATGAGATTCCACGAGTGATCCAAGTTAGCACCATAAGAAACTACGATGGCAGACCAACTCGATTTGTATCTCCGAAAAACGTCCACAGACTCGGGCGAATATATTAGCTATGTAGTGTTTGTTTATCCGATACACCTTTTAAAGTCCATAAAACGAATTTAAATTATTCCTTTTCCAAATTGTATATACATATATAATCTCTACCATAGATTATTAGGAATTTAGGCACCGTCCATTTCCTGTGCATAAAACCTCGAATTAGGAACTACCTAAATAAGCTAGTTCTGCCTAATGCTTTGTGATTTGTACTAACAAATTGTACCTTGAAACGTAATACTTATTAAAAATGTTGTAATTTTAATTCATTATTACTTTTCATTTCAGTAAATTGGTCACAGCAATGTCGCAATAAAAATCTTTATAACATTGTGCTGTTGCTATTTTTCTGTATTTTTGTAATTATATTACTTAACACGTGTTTACAAATAAAATAAGCGTAATAAAAATTAAACGGGGTCATTTTAATATTCATAATATCGTTTTCTTCGATATTAAAGTGTCTTTGGTTGTACAGCAAGCCTTCGACATTCTGGGTTTCACCCAAGAAGAGAAGGACAACGTATACAGGATCACCGCTGCCGTCATGCACATGGGTCGCATGCAGTTCAAGCAGAGAGGTCGCGAGGAGCAGGCTGAGGCTGATGGTACCGAGGCAAGTATCATAATTAGCACTTAAAATTTTTTACTTAAAGTTTTTTTATTGTTTTGTAGATTTATTAATTTGCCCTCCATAAAGTTTTTAGTGTACACTAATGTCCTTGTTTCGTGTTAGTTGCTTCTTTAATTTATGTACACCTGTCTATAGCCAAACGTTTCCACTTTCCAGGATGGTGAAAAGGTCGCTAAGCTTCTTGGTGTAGACTGCCAAGACCTGTACAAGAACCTGTTGAAGCCCCGCATCAAAGTCGGTAACGAGTTCGTGACCCAAGGTCGTAACAAGGATCAGGTCGCTAACTCCGTCGGTGCCCTTTGCAAGGGTATGTTCGATCGTCTCTTCAAGTGGCTCGTTAAGAAGTGTAACGAGACTCTAGACACCAAACAGAAGAGACAGCACTTCATTGGTGTACTGGATATCGCTGGTTTCGAGATCTTCGACGTGAGTATCGAGGATGGGGTGTAGTAGGCCAAATCATTAAAAGCAAATGACTTGACACACTTAAAAAACACAGTTAAACTTAAATGATAATAATTATTTGGCCTAAGAATTTATCCATTTAGTAGTAGGTATAGTTTAAAAGTAGTGTAGAGAAATAGGTCTCTTATTTTTTTTTATTAATTTAAACTTGATTTCTTAGTACAATGGGTTCGAACAACTTTGCATTAACTTCACAAATGAAAAACTGCAACAATTCTTCAACCATCACATGTTTGTGTTGGAACAAGAGGAGTACACCAGAGAAGGCATTCACTGGGAATTCATTGACTTTGGGATGGACTTGTTGGCGTGCATAGATCTGATCGAAAAGGTACACCGAGAGTTCATCACCCTCGGTTGGACACATAATAGAAACCCATAGTTCCATTATTATTTAGAATTTAGTTTTTAGCTTTAAGAACGACCCCGCTGACTAATGGTGGTTATAATAGAATAGTAATGTATCGCTAACTGTGTTGACCCCCATTTATGTGGTTATCCTTTTTATAAAAGTACAACGGTTTCGAGCAACTCTGCATTAACTTCACCAATGAGAAACTGCAGCAGTTCTTTAACCACCACATGTTCGTACTTGAGCAAGAAGAGTACAAGAAGGAAGGCATTGATTGGATTTTCATCGATTTTGGGATGGACTTGCTCGCTTGTATCGATCTGATTGAGAAGGTAATAGTCGTCGGGTATCGGACACCCGCCGACGCGAGTCTCGAAGCGGGATGAAATTAACGTTTGCTACTTTGGTCCGTCTGCCAGGCACTCAGGGACTGACTTGGTACACTCTCTTATTTTAAGGATCTCTATTAGGGAAACTTCAACAACGGAGAGGAATCCGTTATCTACTTCTAATTCTTAACTTAACTTTCCACGTTTACTCATATCCCTGCAGTTCAACGGTTTCGAACAACTTTGCATTAACTTCACCAATGAGAAACTGCAGCAGTTCTTTAACCATCACATGTTCGTACTTGAGCAAGAAGAGTACAAGAGAGAAGGCATTAACTGGGTTTTCATCGATTTTGGGATGGACTTGCTCGCTTGTATCGATCTGATTGAGAAGGTAATAGTCGTCAGGTATCGGACACCCGCCGACGCGTGTCTCGAAGCGGGATGAAATTAACGTTTGCTACTTTGGTCCGTCTGCCAGGCACTCAGGGACTGACTTGGTAGACTCTCTTATTTTAAGGATCTCTATTAGGGAAACTTCAACAACGGAGAGGAATCCGTTATCTACTTCTAATTCTTAACTTAACTTTCCACGTTTACTCATATCCCTGCAGTTCAACGGTTTCGAGCAACTTTGCATTAACTTCACCAATGAGAAACTGCAGCAGTTCTTTAACCATCACATGTTCGTTCTGGAGCAAGAAGAGTACGCACGCGAAGGCATTGAATGGACTTTCATTGATTTTGGCATGGATCTCCAAAATTGCATTGACCTTATTGAAAAGGTAGATGGCGGAAACGCAGCAATGAACGCTTGCTACTCGCCTTTCGAATCCTCGAATAAAGTCACTTGAAATTACGCCACGTCCAATTTCATTTCTAAATTTTTTTATTGGCACAGCAGACTTTATTCATGTGACTCAAACAATGCTCTTTAAATTCTGTGTGTTTCCTATTGTGTGTATTTCTGTTTTATTGTTACACGAGAAATCTTCACCACACCTAACATTTACAATATGTTTGGATTATTTTAACAGAAGCCTCCGATTTTCTTTCCATGTGACCGCGGTGCAGATGAACGGGTTCAATCAGCTTTGTGTTAACTTTACAAACGAAAAATTACAACAGTACTTTAACCATTTCATGTTCGTATTAGAGCAAGAAGAGTATGAACGCGAAGGTATCCAATGGACCTTTATAGATTTTGGTATGGATCTGCAACCGACTATAGAGTTGATAGAAAAGGTATTAATAATTTTGCTAGAAGTCGTAGGTCCGCGAATATTGGAAGCTTCGGGCTGCAGCAGCAATAGCAAAAAGCTGCATGACCAAACGCGTTAAAGTAATGTACAAATCATAGTACTGTATTATTTGCTCTGCAAGTTAAGCAACCCTTAAAATATCTCTGATCTGTAATGGCTTCCGCCACCGTGCCAATTTCCAATGCATAGAAGCATAATAGAAAGAACAAATGCTGTAGAATTTGCACCAAAGCTATCGCGCGCATTACGATAAAAATATTTATTGATTTACACATATACGATCATTATGTAGCTATAGTAACTTGCAAAGCCTTATATTTTTATATATAGTTAGTTAGTCATTGTATCTTTATAATTACTTGCTTATTTTACAAAAAAAATTACACAAATTTTTTGATTAATATATGTAGGTAGAAGCTTGTGAAATTAAGTAAGTTTTAGGCTTTATATATCTACACGCATTTTAAACATTTACATTAAGAACACATATATACCTTTCTATTCTTTGCACGCTGCTTAATATTTAACGCATAACATCTTTTTTTCCAGCTCTTGTTATTAATTGATGTAGTCAATTTTATGTTTTTAAAAGTCATATTATTATTATGTAATGATCCTCAGTAAATTTATTACAAAAATATATCATAATATGTTTATGTTCAAATTTATGGCGATAAATAAATATCCTTGTTGCCAGTTTCTGATTCAGCAAAGCCTTTTTTTTCTGAAAAAGTAAACATTTTTTGCGTATGAAAAATCCTCCGATTATATATTCGTGTTCTAATCTCATCGGTCCGATTCCAGCCTATGGGTATCCTCTCCATCCTTGAGGAAGAGTCTATGTTCCCGAAAGCCACGGACGCGACCTTCGTCGAGAAGTTGAACAACAACCATTTGGGCAAGTCTGCTCCTTACCTGAAGCCCAAGCCCCCCAAACCCGGTTGCCAAGCCGCTCACTTCGCCATTGGCCATTATGCCGGTAACGTAAGTATCAGTTTTTTTTTTTTATAATATCAAGTCACGGGACGAACAAGCCGTGCGCCAAGTTATAACTTCATTGCTTTCCAGACTACACTAGTTTTATAGTCGTTGACTAACCATCAATTTGAGTTGTCCCAAACGTAAATCTGCACTTCGTAAAAATGTAGTACATCAAGCAGCCCTCAAAACTGAAACATTTCAAGAGTTAAGGACTACAAAACTTTGTCGAATTATTTACCCGCTTAGCCATAAAATTTCATGGAAGTATTTGTAAACCAGGTCGGCTACAATATCACTGGATGGCTTGAGAAGAACAAGGACCCTCTCAATGACACCGTAGTTGACCAATTCAAAAAGGGTCAGAACAAGTTGATCCAGGAGATTTTCGCTGACCATCCTGGTCAGTCCGGAGACGCCGCCGCCGCCAAGGGTACGGAATCTCTTTGCAATTTGAATACATCCCAATTATTATATTGAAATATTTTGAAAATTAATTTAGAACATGTTTATTGACCGGAAGCAACATAGGGCGACACTGGTATCATGAGCTGTTGGACTCTTCTGTGAACATACTTCCATATTTTATATACTCGTAGGTATAATACGAGGACGCTACAACCATACCTCACTGTGATACCACCAAATCTACAATGAAAATATGTACTGATTTGGTCCATTTACCTCATTATTTACTTCAAATCATTACCTACCTTCCATATTTTATAAGACCCCTTTATGATACCATTTTGACACCTGTTTTACACGAATAGGCGCCGGTGGCAAGCGCGCCAAGGGTTCCGCTTTCCAGACCGTGTCATCGCTGTACAGGGTAAACCGATACGCACTACGTTGGAGATTTGCTTCTCTGCCTTCTTCATGGCTTCGCTCTGTCCTCGTCTATAAAAACGCTTAAGACTGGCCCCTAAAACGACTATACCGTCGGTATTACCTGTCATATCACAATTCAAATCACGCGAATCAAATTCTCACCTTCGGTATATTCCGCTACATTGGGACCAGTCCTCACGCTTTCACATTAATCATGTCCATGTCCGTCAATGTATGTTTTACAGCACAGCTCATGCAGCTGCTCTGTGCCACCGGTGTACGATCGTCGAGTGTTGTCTGCGTCAATGTTTCATGTATTGTGATCGTCCTTGTATTAATTGTTGCTTGTTGATGTACGTTCCTAGGCGGTCGCGGTAAGAAGGGTGGTGGTTTCGCCACTGTCTCCTCCGCCTATAAGGTATTTAAATATCTCTAGTGTAACAGTTTTGTTTTAACCAGTATCTTTTGAACGTAGAGCACTACTTACATGTAGATCTACGTTATTTTTAAAACTGTAGATATTGGAATGGTAGTTATATATTAATTTATTTGTTTATAAAGGTATATAGAAATCATTTTACCAACCATTACTGAATGGATACCTAAAATAATATTGTTATTTTATTCTGTTGCACTTTCATCCTCTGTAGACGCACAGTGTGTCAAGAGTGCAATAGTCAGCACCAAAATAGTACTCCGGAACAGTCAATGTCACTTTTGCAACTGTGGATACATGTCGGTTTTTGTTTTGTGTGATTCTCGTTTTAACAAGTATTTTGTGTGATTTGCCTAACATATTCATGATATCATTAAAGTCAACTCTAATGTTGTTTTCACCTCATTAATAGTATTGTTTTTGTTTGTTTTTTCCAAAAAGATATACGCTCCATTGTATGTTACAATTCAATTGTTATCATTTGAAGCTTTCTTGATGTTGATTTAGTATGTAAAACTACTTTCCAAAGTGAAATGGTCACACAGTAGTTTGAAAATGCTATTGGCAAAATCCAAAACCAAAACATAATACTTCACGAATGTCGCTAACATAACAGAAAATTTTATGGAAATTTCTACATTGGTTATGTGCACACAGGAACAACTTAACAACCTGATGACAACTCTGAGATCCACCCAGCCTCACTTCGTGCGTTGCATCATCCCCAACGAGTTGAAACAGCCTGGTAAGTTCTATTACATTTACGAATATCTTTAATTTCCTTATATTCAGTTCAACATACTCCGCAACACAGTGTTCATTTTGTCAAATGTACTAAGTATCGTAAACTTATTTACAATGCACTGTTGTCCTCTATTTCGATCTCTAAAATTTCAGATGTGACTACCATTATCGTTTCCTCAAAATTAAAGATTCATCTTTAATTTTTGAACTTTATCATTACCCGACTATATAGAAGACAAAAAGGCGATAATGTTTTCTACGTAGCTAAGATTATTACACTTCACTATCTTCACCATTATCTCGTAGGTCTCATCGACTCCCATCTTGTGATGCATCAGCTCACCTGTAACGGTGTGCTTGAAGGCATCCGTATTTGCCGTAAAGGTTTCCCCAACAGAATGGTCTACCCCGACTTCAAGCTCCGGTAAGCTCAACCAAAACTCATCAACAATTTAATATAAAAATGTTTTAGTTATTTCAGTATTCGGATTAGCAGTCCAATATTCATAATTTGTTTAGAGAACGAAGTCATCAAATATGATAAATTTATTCAATTTTATTTATATAGCAATCCAGATATTGTGAAACATCCGTATTTTTGGAGGCTAAGTCTAAACAAAATTCTTTAGCTCTGGAATATTCGGATCTGAAACACATGTTATTCTGGTACTGCAGCTGACGGTGACGTCAACCATCGACAGTGTGCTGACTAACGGAGTCTAAAAGTGTTTTGATGGATGATCTCTTTGCGTATTCACACCTCGCATGCTTTGACGATTTATCTATGATTATTTTTATATTATAAAATATGAAAATGTATGTATGACTACAAAGTGAAAAGATGTTAAATTAATTAGATTATTTCATAAACAGTTACATGATTCTTGCGCCAGCCATCATGACTGCCGAAAAAGATCCTAAAGAGGCAGCTAGGAAGTGTTTGGAATCTGTCGAGCTAGACCCTGAGAGCTATCGTATTGGTCACACTAAGGCAAGATAAAATGATACCGTTGTAGAATGGATCCAGAACCGTATTAGCATGGAATAGAAGACCAAAGAAACTCTAAACAATAGAGTTACTACTGAGTCCCGACCCACCTTACCCAATGTTATATCGTAAATAATTGACTGCACCTGATACGAAGATTTTAAAACATGAGAACTATTTTACACAAAAATTATGTTTTAAAAAACTCTCCTTTTAACCTCTCGACTGTATTTAGACCCCGTCTCCACCTCTACATATACACTTGTAATAGAAACTTATCTGATATTATTACGATTTTCCCTCATTGTGTGTCCATGTATTTTGAAAATGTAGTTACAAGATCCTGGCCCCTCAAGCTGTGGACAAAGAGTCTGACCCAAAGAAAATCGCTCAAGTTATCCTGGATGCCACCGGTCTTGATCCCGAGTCCTACCGTCTCGGTCACACCAAGGCATGTTTTAAATCCGTTGCATTAGTTAGCGGTTTGAAACTTCGAACGCGCAATCTATACTAGACTAAGAGGCTTTAGCTTTACCAACGACAGTAACACCTTCTGACTGGTGTCGGATTCGACGTAAAAACATTAGAACTGTGGCCGCTTACCCTTGGAGCCCTAGCAACTCTGGCTCCTGTTTGGTTTTCCGCTGTCCTATTACCCAATACACAAATACACGGTTGTTATTATTTTGTTGTGTGCTCCTTAAACGCAGATACAAAATTCTGTGCCCAACCCTGATCAAAGAGCCGATTACTCCTGAGAAAGCCACCGAGAAAATTCTTGAACATACCGGCTTGGATTCAGAATCTTTCAGACTCGGCAAGACTAAGGTAGCAACACGCATGTCACACAATTTCACTATACCAAATTAACCCATACTTCGCTGTATATCTAATATAAGTTTGCTTAGTTTCACCGCAGCATGGAAACACTCCATCCTTAATTGTTAATTTTGGTCAAATTTAACAATAATGGGCGCTTGCAAGTTTCTGAGTATGTATATATATTTCTAAGAAAATTTCTTGTATTTATGTCATCATAAATGCATGTGTAAGTAATAAAATAATAATAACAAATAAAAAGAAACTAGATGATAAGATTAATCGTTTCGCTAATTAGATTTCTAATTGCAAACAAGATTTGTGCCAGTTAGTGAGATCTACGTGGGCGCGAGATAATGAGCTTACACTTAACATGCACAAACAGGTGTTCTTCCGCGCTGGTGTCCTGGGTCAGATGGAAGAGTTGCGTGACGACAGGCTGTCCAAGATTGTCTCATGGCTCCAGGCCTACATCCGTGGTTACCTATCTCGCAAGGAATACAAAAAATTGCAGGAACAAAGGTTAGTAATTTCAACATCAACATACTTTTATTCGGGAAGAAAACTTAAGTGTTAAATTATTTCAATTGGCATTATTTTTGTTGCGTAGGATCGCCCTCCAGGTTGTCCAGCGCAACCTGCGCAAGTACCTCAAGCTCCGCACCTGGCCCTGGTGGAAGCTGTGGCAGAAGGTCAAGCCCCTCCTCAACGTCACTCGTATCGAGGATGAGATCGCGGTAAGTACTTTTCAACACCACTTACCTGATTAAAATGGTTAAGCAGTGACCCAATAAATATTTCAGCGTGTTGAGCACGCGTGAATCAGGAACAAAAATAGTTCGACCGCGCCCACCTGACGGTTACGTGACACCGCAGCACCTGCCGCGGCCATTTCTGGACTCCAGCCCCTCCCTCCGCACCCCGCGCGGAGCTTTTCCCTATCGCAATGTAATGATGCGCGGGGGCGAACAGCGCGGCTGGAAAACTCCAGCGGTGCGGGCACTCAGTAGCGCGAAGGCAGGCGGCGCGCGCACCTTTACGAACGAATCGAATACTTTTGCATTCCTCATTTGATAATTTTAATGGTGTGATTAAGAATGGCAGCACTGTACGTATCAGACTGGGATGGAGTGGATAACAGTGTTGTAAATTTACAGAAATTGGAAGAGAAGGCACAAAAGGCCCAGGAGGCTTTCGAGAAAGAAGAGAAACTCCGCAAGGAGCTCGAGGTCCTCAACGCTAAACTGCTTGAGGAGAAGACCGCTCTGTTGGCCAACCTTGAGGGAGAAAAGGGATCTCTTTCCGAAATCCAGGAGCGCGCCAACAAGCTCCAGGCTCAGAAGAACGACCTCGAGGCTCAGCTCAGAGTAAGTTAGAACATGAGTAACTTAAAAAGTCAAAATATAAAAATCACACAAAAACGTCTATGGCTACGTCATTGGGAACAACGAACCTATATTTTAAAAGGAGTTTTAAATTATAGCTTCGTGTGGCACACATATATCACCGCTATAGCGAAGATATATTGTAGACGGAAGTGTAGTAGTGGAAAAATTATTAAAAAGTCCGCACTTTACGTTTATCGGCACTTAAAATTAGAAGGCATAATAAACATCGAATATTCCGGTATGTGGAACGGCAACTGAAATAGCAGCGCGAATTTGGGTCGATCGAACGAAGCGCACCTGTCCAGGTGATTAATTAAAGTGATTTGATGAAATCACTCGAGTTTAGAAAAACACTGAGCTTTGAGTTGCAATCCAAATATGTATAGGCGTGTAGAACTAACACATTGATGTTTTTCTTTGCGTGTTTCTTTAAATAAACATAGATTTGTTTATACGAGATATAGTTCAATGAGTTAAAAATAAATTGCAAGTCTGCAGGCTGCGGTTTATTGCAAACATTGATTGCTGTAATGTGCCGATAGACGGAAACCAGACGTGTTACAAGCTACTTTGAATAAATAATGGCGAAACTAACTTAAGCGTTTTGGTACTGTAGGACACCCAGGATCGCCTTACCCAAGAGGAAGATGCCCGCAATCAGCTCTTCCAGGCTAAAAAGAAGTTGGAGCAGGAGGTATCTGGCCTTAAAAAGGATATCGAGGATCTCGAACTCTCCGTCCAGAAGTCTGAACAGGATAAGGCCACCAAAGACCACCAGATCCGCAACTTGAACGATGAGATCGCCCACCAGGATGAGCTCATCAACAAGTTGAACAAAGAGAAGAAGATGCAGGGCGAATCTGGTCAGAAGACCGCTGAGGAACTTCAAGCTGCCGAGGACAAGGTCAACCACCTCAACAAGGTCAAGCAGAAGCTCGAGCAGACCCTCGACGAGCTTGAGGACTCCCTTGAGCGTGAGAAGAAGCTGCGTGCTGACGTTGAGAAGCAGAGGAGGAAGGTTGAGGGTGACCTCAAGCTTACTCAGGAGGCTGTCTCTGACCTCGAACGCAACAAGAAGGAGCTCGAGCAGACCATCCAGCGCAAAGATAAGGAGATTTCATCTCTCACCGCCAAGCTCGAGGACGAACAGTCACTGGTCAGCAAACTCCAGAAGCAGATCAAGGAACTGCAGGCCCGCATCGAGGAGCTCGAGGAAGAAGTTGAGTCGGAACGCCAGGCTCGTGCTAAGGCTGAGAAACAACGTGCTGACCTCGCCCGCGAACTCGAAGAGCTTGGTGAGCGCCTTGAGGAGGCTGGTGGTGCCACCTCCGCTCAAATCGAGCTCAACAAGAAGCGTGAGGCTGAGCTCAGCAAACTGCGCCGCGACCTCGAGGAGGCCAACATCCAGCACGAATCCACACTCGCCAATCTTCGCAAGAAGCACAACGATGCCGTCGCCGAGATGGGTGAGCAGCTTGACCAGCTCAACAAGCTCAAGGCTAAGTGAGTATTAACCGCAGTCGTAGCTTTTTATTTCCTTTTTATTATGAGCAATAAAACAGACTGTGTCTACACATGTGGAACTTTATAGTGTACTTGTTCACAGAATTAGGATAGTTTATAGGTTGATCGTAATAAAAGTCTAGATGGCCACGCGTAAAAAAAATCAAGAAAATTGGAATCCTCAGAATTGCTTATTTAAATAAAATAACCAAGCGGTCCAAGAGGGAGACCAGCTGTTTTTCAGTTGAATATTTTCAAATTAACGTGTTATTATCGTAGTATTTGATTAGTACCTATGACTTTGACTTCTAAATTGCGTACATTCTTGAAAGTGTAGTATTAAAAAGATCGCGATGAAATCTGAATGACGAGCAGGTTCACAATTCTTGGAAATTTGTTAAGTAGCCAAACAGCATTGGAACAGCGAGCCGGATTCTGGCCTAAACTCTTTTAAGAGGAGACCTGTACTCATCAGTGGGTAGTGTAAAGGATTGTTGATGTTGACAATGAAATGTACGTAGGAATGAAATTAACGCCAATATTTGATAGGTTCTTCTTTGGGATTCATATGTTATGTACGGTTCATGATACCACAGGCTTGCCCTTAGTGGGATTTTTTGACGTGAAATATTTTCACACTGAAAAGCAGAACTTAGTTTATTATTACAGTGACTACAACAAAAGGGTTTTTTCGTAACATTCATCGAACAGGGTGCTGAATAAAAGTAAAAATGTACCTATTTGATGATTATTTTTAAAATACTCTCTAGGCTACAAATTCCTCTTAGCAGCTCGAACGAAAAAAAAATGTAAATAATATTTTTTTACTTATTTGAATAAGTAGAAAAAGACAAGTTGTAATCTTCAAACATTCATCATTTTACATTTTCACAGAAGCGAGCAAGTAATTAGTCTTCATTTATTATTATAATTAAAGTAGAGCAGCAGTTATCTCTGATCTCGTTCCGGTATGAAAAAATTCACACATCACAGTGGCGCTAGATTAAAATTTTACAACGAATTTAAAAAATTACAACATACCAAACGCACCGCCGTCTAGTCGCAAACAAGCTATAATTAGTAGGTTACCAACCTAAAATTACAGAACCGAATATCTTGGTGTTTAAATATAGAGTAGTACAACTTTGACCAAAGGTCTCTCTTAAACAAATTTAACTGGATTTCATGTAATGCGAAACCAGGGCTGAACATGACCGTGCGTCTTGCTACAACGAGCTTAACAACACGCGCGCGGCTGTTGATCAAGTCGCAAGAGAGAAGGTAACACGTAGCCCATTCGAGGCATGTGTACCAGCCTGAGTTGAACCTTGCATGGTACCTCTAGACTCACACACAATACACGACATTGTGATACCGAGGTCCTACGCAACGGATTTGATCATGTCCCCTACACGACGACTTGACAAAGCGATGTACTAAAACTTTTGTGTCCATTCTATCTATCCAGGGCTGAGAAAGAGCGCTCTCAATACTTTAGCGAAGTCAATGACCTTCGTGCCGGTCTCGACCACTTGTCCAACGAAAAGGTATAGAAGATGAAAAGATAAAATATTTTGGCATCAGCGTTTACTGTTCATATCGCTTCGCAGCTTCCAGATTTAGCAAGATATAAAGAATAGATGGAACAAATCACATGACACAAATAACTCATTCCAACAAACATGAATTGGATTTTAACATCTTAAAATTATACTAAACATTTAACAACCTAATTCACCTCTCATACAATAGCACAAAAGCTAACTTGCTTACAAGTGATCTAATTAATAAACAAAACTTAACAGTGAATTTATTTTGTAGTGTAGAGAACTAACAGTAACAAAATATGGCTAACATAAACCGAGTTACAATAATATTTAAACTTGTGTAACATAAGAAAGCAGTAAAATGTATAACCAATACGTAACATAAAAATACAGCAAGGAGAATAAATTGTATCACCAATATCTATGATCACCACTAACAACAATTTTATGTCACAACACAGCCTTTATGTTTTTTGTAATAATTGTTGACCTTCTATTCTCTGAATCCATATTTAAATCACTACTATCAAATCCAGGGACCAGAACCATTTGTAAGGTCTGACCTTGTTCATAACATCATGTTTAACATTAATATTTCCTAACAGGCTGCCCAGGAAAAGATCGCGAAGCAACTGCAACACCAGCTCAACGAAGTGCAGGGCAGGGCTGATGAGGCTAACCGTACCCTCAATGACCTGGATGCCGCTAAGAAGAAGCTGTCCATTGAGAACTCCGACCTGCTCCGCCAGCTGGAGGAAGCAGAGTCCCAGGTGTCTCAGCTCTCCAAGATCAAGGTGTCGCTTACCACTCAGCTCGAGGACACCAAGAGGCTCGCCGACGAGGAAGCCAGGGTAACTATGTCAAACCACTGAAACGAACGGTATCGCTTTATGAAAGATTGGCATTAATTAAACCTATGTTTTTTTTAATTCAACAGGAACGCGCTACCCTCCTTGGCAAATTCCGCAACTTGGAACACGACTTGGACAACATCCGCGAACAAGTCGAAGAAGAGGCAGAGGGCAAGGCTGACCTTCAGCGCCAGCTTTCCAAAGCCAATGCAGAGGCTCAACTCTGGCGCTCCAAGTACGAGTCTGAAGGTGTCGCTCGCTCCGAGGAACTCGAAGAGGCCAAGCGCAAGCTCCAGGCCCGTCTTGCCGAAGCCGAAGAGACCATCGAATCCCTCAACCAGAAGGTTGTTGCCCTCGAGAAGACCAAGCAGCGCCTTGCCACTGAGGTCGAGGACTTGCAGCTCGAGGTTGACCGCGCTACTGCCATCGCCAACGCCGCCGAGAAGAAACAGAAGGCCTTCGACAAGATCATCAGCGAATGGAAGCTCAAGGTTGACGACCTTGCCGCCGAGCTCGACGCAAGCCAGAAGGAATGCCGCAACTACTCCACCGAATTGTTCCGTCTTAAGGGTGCCTATGAGGAAGGCCAAGAGCAACTTGAGGCTGTTCGCCGTGAGAATAAGAACTTGGCTGATGAAGTCAAGGACTTGCTTGACCAGATTGGAGAAGGTGGCCGCAACATCCACGAGATTGAGAAGGCCAGAAAACGCCTGGAAGCCGAGAAGGATGAACTCCAGGCAGCTCTTGAAGAAGCTGAAGCCGCTCTCGAACAAGAGGAGAACAAGGTCCTCCGCGCTCAGCTCGAGTTGTCTCAGGTCAGACAGGAGATCGACAGACGCATCCAGGAGAAGGAAGAGGAATTCGAGAACACCCGCAAGAATCACCAACGCGCCCTCGATTCCATGCAAGCATCCCTCGAGGCTGAAGCTAAGGGCAAGGCTGAGGCCCTGCGCATGAAGAAGAAGCTCGAGGCGGACATCAACGAACTTGAGATCGCTCTCGACCACGCCAACAAGGCCAACGCTGAAGCCCAGAAGAACATCAAACGCTACCAGCAACAAATCAAGGACCTGCAGACCGCCCTCGAGGAAGAACAGCGCGCACGTGACGATGCCCGTGAACAGCTTGGCATCTCAGAGCGTCGTGCCAACGCCCTCCAAAACGAACTGGAAGAATCCCGCACCCTCCTGGAACAGGCCGATCGCGCCCGTCGCCAGGCTGAACAAGAGCTTGGTGACGCACATGAACACCTTAACGAGCTATCTGCCCAGAATGCTTCTCTTTCTGCTGCCAAGAGGAAACTCGAGGCCGAGCTGCAGACCCTGCACTCAGACCTTGATGAACTCCTCAACGAGGCTAAGAACTCCGAGGAGAAGGCCAAGAAGGCAATGGTCGACGCCGCTCGTCTCGCCGACGAGCTCCGCGCCGAACAGGAGCACGCCCAGACCCAGGAGAAACTCCGCAAGGCCCTCGAGCAGCAGATCAAGGAATTGCAGGTCAGACTGGATGAGGCCGAGGCTAACGCACTCAAGGGTGGTAAGAAAGCCATTCAGAAGCTCGAACAGAGGGTACGAGAGCTCGAAAATGAACTTGATGGCGAACAGAGGAGACACGCCGACGCACAGAAGAACTTGCGCAAGGCTGAAAGGCGCATCAAGGAGCTTACCTTCCAAGCCGATGAGGACCGCAAGAATCACGAGCGTATGCAGGACCTGGTTGACAAACTGCAGCAAAAGATCAAGACATACAAGAGGCAGATCGAAGAAGCCGAGGAGATCGCCGCCCTCAATCTTGCCAAGTTCCGCAAGGCACAACAGGAGCTGGAGGAAGCCGAGGAGAGGGCAGACCTTGCCGAACAGGCCATCAGCAAATTCCGTGGCAAGGGACGCGCGGGATCCGCCGCGAGAGGAGTCAGTCCGGCGGTAAGTTTTTGTCATATTAATTACTTATCCAACAATGAGTTGTAAAAAACAATTACGGAGTACACTGAATAATTATTCCAATTTATTAGTTATACGGAGCACAGTCTACTTTATTTAGTTCATCATCAGATTTTTTTCACTTCTTCGGGATACTAAACACTGCTTCTTTCATTCAGGCGTCCGTTAAAGGGCGTCCCTAAATCAGCACTGGACTACTATGTAAGTTGGCAACTTGACGTTGCGAACCCCACAAAGCACCGCTGACGATGCTGTCTTAATCTATTTAGATTAGAGCCTCTCCTATCATTTTTTAGATAGCCCCTGGCATGTATTCCCTGAATAATCGATAAAAGATACCATAATTCTAAAATTCAGCGTTAACATTAACGATACCTACCTCAAAATGAAAGAGAAGTAATATATTCCCTTGATTTTGCAGCCCCAGCGTACGCGCCCCGCCCTCGGTGAAGGTTTCGGCACCTTCCCACCAAGGTTCGACCTGGCGGGTGAAGATTTCTAAACGTTCCACTACAAAAAACAAAAACGGACTGTACAGATTTTTCGTTGACAATGTAACTCAATTTTTTTATACATAGCACTTAAAACATGTTACGAAAAACGTGAAACGAGAAACTGTAAATTTTGTAAGCCACAAAAAAATATACACTAGTAATCTAATCTTTTTACGAAAGGATATTTTGTAATTTGTTGATATTTATTTATATTTATTATTTATTACCGCGGAGTATGTATACCGCGGTGTTGGAGCGGTGAGGTGCGCGTGTGTCGCCGCGAACTTTCGAGACACGCCCTCCACCCCCTCACCGGTGGCGCCCGCCTGTCCCTCGCGCGCTCCACCGCCGCAGACTACCAATAAAGCGATATCGTTGTCATAAAATATATTCTGTCTTTTTATTTCATAAACCCTAACAAAACTTTTTCGTAGCTACAAATAGATAGAAATGCTATAAAAATAGTTACACTTTTGCTCTATAACAATGGGACAAAGACGCAAACAGTAAAAAAATATCAATAACAAATATACTTTATTACAACAAAAATGTCATGTAACATTATTATATCGGATTTAGAAAAGGTAGATCTACAACTTTTGCATGTTTTGAGTTTTTGCGCATTGTAACGGAAAGTATAAACGTCTCTACTCCTGTAATGTCAGTCTTTCTAGATATGACTAAAGCCTTCGACTTTGTAAATCACTCAACACAAGCTTGAAGCATACGGTATTAGAGGAACAGCCCCAAATTGGATAGCGAGCTACTTAAAAAATCGGACACAGTATACTGAAATAAGTAGGTTAACAAAAACAAACACAATAATAGATTAGAAAAACAAATTTTTAGATCACACCTTAAGACGACTAATGCTGGAATACCGTAAGGTAGCGTCTTGGGTCCGTTACTGTTCCTACTCTACATTAACGATCTCCCACATGCTATTGATCATAATTGTGTACAATTTGCTGACGATACAACTCTTATAATACGTAAAATGCCAAAACAAAGCGACTTTTAACACTGACGTAAAAAAAGCACTGACAGACGTAATAAGTTGGATGGACATCAATGATTTGAATATTAATATAAGTAAAACCAAAGTTATGATATTTAGATCTTACAACTCAAATCCCATACCGGTTAAAATTAATTACAACTCTGATACTGTACATGAAGTAGACACATTTAACTTTCTTGGGTGAAGAATCGACAAGAACCTTAACTGGAAAGAACACATCGAACAAATGTGCATGAACCTAAACAGATTTGTTTACGCTTTACGAAGACTAGGGCAAACTGTCGCGCGAGAAGCTGCGTTGACGGCCTATTACGGCTACGTTTCGTCCGTGCTCAGCTACGGTCTTGTACTAAGGGGTAACTCACTAACCTTAGAAAGAGCGTTTAAAGTCCAGAAGAAGTGTATTCGAGCAATTTGCGGTGCGTGGTTCGATGACAATTGCAAACCGCTGTTCAAAAGGCTGAATTGCTTTGCCATGCATGTACATTAGGGATATCTGCGTATTTGTCAACTCTCATCCTCAATATTTTAAAACATGCGGTGAAGTCATTCAAAGGCAAACTAGAGCAAAAATTATGAATCTCTTATACCAACCTCGTTGCCATAAAGTAATTTATAAAAATAACTGCTTCAACATGTGTATAATTATTTACAATAAATTACCAAACGAAATTAAATTGTTACAAGGACATACTTTTAAATTAAAATTGACAAAATGGCTTTTGACACATTGCTTCTATAGTAATAAAGAATACCTAGAATTTACAAATTCATTACATTAATTAGAAACTATAGAGACTAAACATTGAATCCCATTAATATTTGCACATCTGCTTGCAGGTTGAATACAATGTACCTAATTTTACTTAAGACCTTTGTAATTACTGTATTCTGGCAAATAAACATTCTATTCTATTCTATATCGCACCCTTTGTATAATAAAACCACGTCTGCAAAATGACAATTTTTCCGGAGAGAGGTTTAAAAATTGTTTGATTCATGTACTTCGTATTATTCGTATTATTTTTATGACTGTCAGGTGAAAAAGGTACTTTTGACGATACATGGTGGCTTTGTTATATCAAGGGTACAATTTTCCGTGACTGTGAAGCCACATCTGAAAAAGTCAAATATCATCATCGTAAAAATAAAGCAAACTGCAATAACAACAAAAACAGAGTTCCTTTGATTGCTATAGCTGAACTTCTACCATCCATAAATGGATGAATATCTCCAAGCGGTTCTGGATAATCTAAGCTGCAGAAGTCCAAGTCAGCGTTAGTAAAATCCTGGAATTTCTTCTGAAACTCTGCCCAGGTGCAACCAGACAACGGACAGATATCTGACACTTTTTCGTTAATGAAGACTTGAACACTATAGTCTCGGGATCCAGATTGTTCGCACCTGGAAAATATTTCAAACCCTCATGTCTGTGTTTTTTTGTAATATCAAGTGACGGAACGAACAAGTCGTGCACTCGATGGTAAGTTACACGCCTGTCTTTAACAGTTGCTGTACCACTCAGAGCTTTAAATCGCAAAGATCTGAGAGGCACTGCCACGGCGCCTGTCACCTTGAGACATAAGTTGACACGTCCTATGTGCCTGTAATTTTACCAGCTTCCTTACCCTTTTAAACCGGAACCCAGTAATGCTAACATTACTGCTTGGCGGCAGAATAGGTAAGATGGCAGTACTTCCCTGGACAAATTCTTTCACGAGGATCTCTACTACTGCTAATACATATATATGGAAAAGTGTAAAGCCGGGTACTCACTAGCGAGCTGTCATTATAACGTCACTGATACAGTATGGAGGTTTTAGTGTGTACGCGTAAAACAGTCTTCATTCACTAGAATGAGTACCTGGTTATCGTCGGCTTACTGCAAACCGCTCGCGAACCACGCACACCCTATGATTTTTAGTAACAACATGCAACGGTTACTGTTACAGCTCGCTAGTGAATACCCGATTTAAGCCAAGTGAAAGTATGCGGACTGATCCGTCTGGTCGAAATTTGAGCGATAAATACATACTATACATCACGAGTTAAAACAATTGAAAGATATTGCCAGCTATTTATGAACCCTGAAATGTTATTGTTAATATCCATTTTAAACTTCAATGTTTGTATTCTCGGCAGATGCATCATGCCGAGAGTCGAAATCAAACGAGTTAGGCTCAATGTAAAATATCCGGGTGATAATTTATTCAATGTTAGATGACAAAACACTTGTTGATTCACCTAAGACTGGCGTTATCTATACTATTAAGTAAGAGATCTCGTTGTGAGCTGGCGCGAAGGTCAATTTGTGTTATCTTTGACTGGTCGAAACGCGTATTAATTTACAGAAAATAATATAAAGTGAGCTCAAACACAGACTGGCATTTTAAATTTTAGGCTTTAAGGGTAACGGAGACATAACTGTCCCTGACTTTTCAGCTCATTATTTGGTAACTAGGCATCCGTATTTCATCGTCGTCATTAACCCATTATACGCCAATACGTCCCACTGTCTCATTTCTAACTCTGTATGACTCATTTTCTAAGGATTCTGAGTCCATCTCTGTTGCATCTGTATAATATTTTCTTTAGGAATAGGGTTCGCTGTGACGACAGACTAAAAAATTGTGTCCCGAATTGAAAAACAAAGAGAGTCAACGCAATCAAAGACACAGCAGACTTTGTTGTTGTTGATATTACCTCAGTTCGAATTCAATTTTTTTCCCGCACTAATACGGTTCATTTTCCTTGGGTCGAGTAGCAGGGACACTGGCTTTATATCAGAATTTATTGTTTTACAAAGGACATTAAAGCCATTTGAAAAATGTATATCATATAGTACTTATGCGAGTTCAATTTAAGTTCAGTTGATATAAAAAAAAATTGATACAATTATGTATCTATTGAATACAGCGGCTTTCTTGTGAAATTTCGAGGTTTTCGAGTTTGTGTTTTTTTTATCCATCGTGAAATTTACGAATCGTGTTTTCACACCGTACAGTACCTGATCAGTACATATTCTCAATTTTACTACATACTATTTTTTCCAAAGTGATTACTGAACACTTTCACTGTTATGCAGAATCAACCAAAGCCTTTGAGGTTGTATAGTGTCTAAAGACCATTGACTTACAATTATATGGACGTCGGGTCCGCGCTAAAAAGTGTCCGAACTTATAGGGCGTTAAAATCGTATACAGAGCGTCATTCACGCTTTAGTCTTCGTTTGTTCGACTGACAGCGAAGCAAGCAAAATTAGACAGTACTGCGATGACATAACAATTTAAATTCAACGTTTTAGCTTTTTCATATTCCTTCACATGTCACTACGTTTAAATAAGTTGACTTGGGACATTTTTCTCGAGGTTTTTGTATTAGACCAGTCGTTTATTTATTTGTAAGTCAATGCTAAAGACCGTATGCTTATACTTAGCAATGTATTTTTGGATGTTAAGGATCTATATGAAAGACTTTCCACCAGCTGCACCGTCTGATATTTTGCCGTATAAACCATGGTCATAGTCAACAGCACATCAAATTTAACATTGGACTTCGCACCGTTTTTATCGCAAGCGGCTTTAAGGTTTTATCGTTGAATTTAAATCTTCTAAATGTCAGACTTGACGCTGTACCAATGATCATCCAGGAACCAAATTGAATATGCTGTCAATTCGGTGTCACCACTTCAAACGTGATTGTCACGATATAAAATAATAAACCGTATAACTCAATGTTTTGAGATAACATCAATGTTAACAACACGCAATGATGTTAACAACACGTGTCTCGCGGACTCTTGAAAGATATCATGACACGTTACCACCAATCTAAAACTGACAAACTAAAGGACTGATGGACGCGACTTGACAGTTGATTACATCAATTGTTGTTGATGAGTTCTTACGATTTCGCGACTTGTTGAGCAAATTAGTTGCTTGCCCTTGGGGGTTCCCAATCGGTTCCAAAATTGTTTGGATATCACTTTGTAGAAAGAAAGGATTTTGTAACCCGACGGTCCGAGATTTGTAACTCCAAATTATGTGAATAATGTAAAGGAAACGACATCCTGATATTTTTGACTTCTTAAATTAATTATAATAAGCGCAGCAGTGTTTTGGAGGTATAATGGGACCAACGTTTCGACGTATCATATCAACGAATGAGGCAACTCCTGCTGGTGAAATTACAGGCACTTGGCTTGTCAACTAATGTCTCAATTTACTTATGGCGGTACGGCAAAAAGTCCTTAAAAATCCAAAACAAAGATCGTGAAAAAATTGCTGGTTCGTTCCGTGGTTTAGTTGGCATAGCGTCTAGCAATCATAATTGAATAAAAAAATATATCATTGTGGTGAAACATCCTTTCAATAAACCTTCAATAAACTTAAGTACAGTTATCTAAATGTACGTTTATAAATTTTTGTTTAAACTTGTTCTTTACATGTCCGAATAAAAGCTGACATGTCATGAACAAAATGTTGTGAAAATTCTTCAAGAGTCTTAGATCACCCTTTTAAGAAATGAAACGTTTTTCTTACAGTTACCGTTCAACCTCTTGGAAAAGAACTGTGAAGGGAACAATTTTAAACGAATGCCAATAATAAAAACAACTTACCGATTCAACACAAACATCAAATTCGAAGAGAAGGCCGTATTAGTAGTCCTCCACAACCTATCATGCTTAACATTGTTTCCTAAAAGAGACGTTTCATCTTTATATAGTCCCAAAGCACAATAGACCATATCCAACATTGTGTCGTGGGTGAAGTATGAAGTAATCTTTCTAGAGGATCCATTGGTTGCTGCTTGGAAAGTGTCGTAGAGATCTTTCATTGGCAGATTACCGAGGCGTACATTCACCTAAAGAGAATAAATAGAGTTCAGTTCAGAATAAATGAAGCTGACTGTGATGACGTCCTCACAACAGAAGTTACCCTGAAGTTCTACTATGTTCCGTGACACGGAAGCGTCGTACCACTTTAAGTGAGACTACAACAAACTGAGTGGATCACGGTTTCCTTAGCTATACACAATATACGCTTTGTGCTCTTTTATTATTTGTAATTAGTTCTACGTCTATCTCTTGTTGGAGTTCAGGGTAATCATGTAATTGTAGGCACAGTTATTGTTATTCTGAACTGCCTTTGTGGTCGAACGGTTACCATGCCGAACTGCCACACAGAGGTCCTGGGTTCGATTCCCAGGCCGGGAGAAATAATTGTACGGCCTACATTGATTTCTCTCGTGAGTTTGGGTGTAATTTGTGGTTGTCTATGGGTGTGTCCGCGGCACCCGCGACCCAGGCTTTTCTAGTGAGTGTGTTGCTTTATTATGTGTTGCGTTATTATTATTCAATATCTGGATCAATAAGATCGTAACGTAGAATTCATTGCAGGTCTTTTAGTTGAACCATGGACCAATTTATTAACAGTGTTGCTAATCGCAATGCAAGACAGAGTAGTCGGGTACTTAGTACCACAGTCGGGTACCTAGTACCACACCACGTAACCATATTTGTAGCTAATTTATTTTACATTGACAAGCTGCAATTTATAAAAGCTACTCTAATTTCTAGTGGTAACCAACAAGTCAACTAGATGGCGCTTATTCCAAATATTGGCGCTTCTTTTTAGAATTAGCTCCATCTACCCATATTAACAAGCGATAATTTATAAATTCGTTTGTAACACACTGAGTATATATCCAGATATATATGTATAGAGACGAAATGTAATTTAATTTGTAAGTAAGTAAGTAATAAAAACAAATACAGTTCAATTACAGATAACGGTCATAGAAGTGAGAATATATTATATTATTACACATTATGGAATACGTATGTTTAGACATGTACTTTTAAACTTTTTCTAAACCGGATACACTGGCTCCTACACTAGGCAAAGCCTGATTCGTAGGTAACCAATTCTAGGAAGTATGTACACGACGAGAAAATACGTAAAATCTAATTAATGTGACTTATTAAATAATAGGAAATTAAACAATGTTACTTACAAAGCAATTAAATTACTTGTGTATGTGAAAAAGGCGACGCCAGATAATGGCTTTTCTAAGATAAAACTTTTTTTTTGTAAAATGTAAGTTCGCATTTGACCTACATCTCACTTAAAAAAAGAAGATTGAGGAAAAGAAGCTTACTTAAAAGGCTTGCACTGCAAGTGCTTCACCTTGTTTTTCTATAGCCTCGCTCCATATGTGACAAGCATACACAAGATCTCCATTGATCGCCCTCGTCGGAATCCGTCCTGGCGATCTGAGGAGGTCGTTGTCTTCGAGGCACAACAGGAGACGGTTGTTAAGTACATGTTCCATAGTCTTGCAGAGTATGGAAGTGTTTAAGATAGGTCTATAGTTGACAGAGCAGCTCTGCTTCCCTTTTTCGGAACAGGTAGCACGTTGCAAGCTTCCACGACCTGGAAACGACACCAGTCTCACGTGAGAGGCAGTACAGGCGTAGGAGTGTGAAAACAGGAGACAACTCAGGCGCACAGTTACGTGGGACTAGTGCTGGATTTCCAACTGGCCTGCTAGCTTTATTCTCGTCTAGATTCCGCAATGTTGTAAGTAGCTCTTTTTGGCGTAAGCAAATTGGCGCCATAGTGCAGCCAGCCTGAGGTAAGATGAGATCCAGACGCGAACTCTTTGCAAAGAGTGAGGCAAAAAGGTTTGTCTCGTCTTCTGCAGTATAGTGACCTTATATTCAAAGATATTTTGTTTAAAAAATTCTCTCTCTCCCTTCCTCTCTCTCTCTCTCTCTCTCTCTCTCTCTCTCTCTCTCTCTGTGTGTGTGTGTGTGTGTGTGTGTGTGTGTGTGTGTGTGTGTGTGTGTGTGTGTGTGTGTGTGTGTGTGTGTGT